CTAAGACTCGTGCAACAGAAAATATTTCCAAAAAAAAACAACTTTACATGGAATAGTAACTTGTGCTGGATATTTCTATAATTCCTGGAAATTGGTGCCCATGCTTTAAAAATAGAGTATCTTTTTTATCATACTGGCTTGTGGTTTCCATTCCCCCATTTTAATCTAGTGCACGTAGTTTTAGTTTTTAGTTAAATTACATTATTTGAGAAATAAATCTGATGATAAGCGTGTTTTCTGTTTAGTTTTCCTTCTTATCAGAGCAGGCATCACGCTGCAGGAGGGCGTTTTAGTCCTATTAATTCATTAACGTCACGAGTAACTAGGCGATCAATTCATTTATTTCATTCACCAAGCCCCAGCCATTCAGAATGGGCTATGAAAAAAACATCAGAGATTGGGTGTTACGCGTCTACTAAAGTGACAGAAAGTTATCACGAAAACCATGTACAGTCGACAATCAATCTGTCACTAAGGTCGGTCACGACGGAAGGTTTCATTTCCTGCAAGACATAAAAATAAATACATAAAAAACAAGCCATGAGTGATCATCATGGAGTAGTTAACAGAATTAACTCGACTTTGTGAATCGTCCTTTGCGACCTTTTCTAACCCTTTTTCAACATAAAACGGCAGTTTTGTTTTTCAACCAGCTTGCTCTACAGATCAGCGATAAGGTGGCGTCGAGTGATGCCAGTTCACCCCGACAGGGGTCGTTCTAAGGAATCTTCTCTCATTTCAAACAGTTCAATCCGTCATCAGTGATAATAGTAGGCTTCCGGGAATTGAACGCTTTGATTCCTTAAATCAAAGAAGTCTTTATTTGAGAGTTGAACCTCTTGATTGGCGCATCAGAGGTCGAAGAAGTACCCGAAAAATAAAACTTCTGTAAAGGTGGCAAACACTAGAGATCATCAATAGGGTCAGCCTGGTGGCCCATGATTCATTAGAGGGGGGGCCACTGTAATAACAATTGGGCGGGTCTTAGAACTCGAGTCTGGCATAAGATCAGATTAATTTCCGAGAACTCTGAGCGATAAGCGTTTGCTGACTTTATTTTATTTTTTGTTGCTGTTCTTACTAACCTAGTGTGATCGTATTTCTGAAAGTAATTCAAGAAGAGGCTGCTTCTGCGTTGGTCTTCTACAGATAACACCTTTTGTTATTATATAGTCTAATAGAGTAGCAGGAAACAGAACATTTTATATTTATTTGTTATACATGTAGTCCAGAGACTCGGCAAATCTAATATTTTCGGGAAACTTGCCACGTGTATTGAGGGTTATAAACATGTTTCGATAAACCGTAGTAAAACACAATCCAAAAAGTCTACACAATGAATAAAATTGACATGGTAACTGTACGTTGCAGTTTGTTCAAGATTACAGTCTTATTACAGGTCCAGGAATAGGCGTTACCTAAGGGTTAGATGCCTGGACTGTGAGTTCGAGGATTCGTGGTTTGCGTCTCATTACCCCCAATACGCTCCCCTTACTTTTAGGCCGTGAGTACGCTACAAGAATTCGCACCAAATCTCACTATTCAGTCAGTCAATAGTAGCCCAAGAGTTGGAGTGGTTGTTGTTGACTAGCTAGTTGCCTTACCTCCAGTCTGTCAGTTCATAATTAGGGACGACGGTGCTTCTAAAACCAAATAAACGAAGTGCAAATATTGACGAGTTGGCGAAATTCACTTCCATATTTTGTGGTGTTAGTTGTTGATGAGTTTAGAAAATAACTGTATATAAAACATGATGTCATCCATATGCAAGTAAACTTCCATATTTTGTGGTGTTAGTGAGTTTAGAAAATAACTGTATATAAAACATGATGCCATCCATATGTAAGTGAACTTCCATATTTTGTGGTATTAGTGTTGGTGAGTTTAGAAAATAACTGTATATAAAATATGATGTCATCCATATGTAAGTGAACTTTCATATTCCGAAATTTCAAACAATTTAATCGACATTACAAAAACCGAAAACAAAAGAAAAGATATAGCTATCTTCGAGGGTCAAGTTAAACTGCTTTACAGCACACTAACGGAGGCACTTTGTAATGTTGAAAAATTATGCCGGTTTCATAAAAAAATCGGAATCACGTTCACTTTATTCATGACTTGTGGAAACCTTGCGCCCTTTAGTGATTACACATTAACTACGAACTTTATTAAAGCACTTGAACTTCAGTTGTAGTGAACATGAGGAACATTAAAACATGTTTCGTTGAAGAGTCCTTCTGATATGACCATTATTTTTCACTGCTAAGTTGTTCTTGACAATCAATGTGATAGCTTATTTTTTATCATCTGATTCGACATTGTCCAGAAACTTAATTAATTTGACAAAACCTGTACAGAACAATATCTACGGAAGGAATATAAAGTATCTGTTGTGCCTTAATTAACAAGTGTCTGTAATGTTGTCCGTCCATCTAATATAAACTACAAAAAATTACACATTTATTACACGAAAACATGAAATCATCTTGCCACTAATACCTTCCCTTGGCTTCTGGATGCTTCCAGTTTTTAATATCCAACATCCCAACAAAGAACTAAACATATTAACAAACTAATGCATTTTTCCACATTTTCACTCAAAAAGACCTCAATAAATTGTGTTCTTTGGCTCATAAGTTATAAAAGTTGTATTTATAATACTTATTTTTAAAGTTTGTTTGAAAAACTTCATCCCTTATTGTTCTACATTCAAGTTTTACCTAGAAAGTGCATTTAAATGAAATAAAATTGAAAATATCATCTTAAAACATTTTTATCACTGATCCATAAAAATATTTAGACACTTCTGAAATCGAAATAACTATTTTTCTATTAACTATTAACTATTTTTTTTTCTTTTACAACAGTAATAACTCGAAAAAAAGAGTGCTCAGTTAAAAAAAAGAAAGAAAACAAACTTTAAAGCTATAACAGGCCAATTTACAGAAACATCGACACTAGATGGCACTAGATATGCATCCGTGAATACTGGAAATATAAATCAGATATTACTTTTGAAAGTAACACTGTTTTGGAAATGTTGTTTTTTTTTTTTATAATATTAAGACTCATAAAGTTCTTACTAAAACAATTCCCAATATTAGCGGAATTCACAAACTACTATTAGAATAATATGAATAAAATCAACAATTTCGAATACGGAGGTATCGCAACTGCTACAACAATACCGCATATTACACTTTAGAATAATTATAGAACTGCTGTATTAGTTTTTCTTCCTAACCATGGCCAGGTGGTTGGGGACCTCGACTCGCAATTTGAGGGTCGCGGGTTCGAATCCCCGTCTCACCAAACATGCTCGTCTTTTCAGCAGTGGGGGGGGGGGGGGGGTGATGACTAGCTGCCTTCCCTCTAGTCTTACACTGCCAAATTAGGGACGGCTAGCGCAGATGGCCCTCGTGTAGCTAGCTTTGCGTGAAATTCAAAACAAACAATCTTCCTAACAGGCCTCAGTAAAATAATAATAATAAATCCATACATATATCTGTTGTTCAACAGAGGACAAAAATAAGCCCTTTTGGAACCTTGAGGATCTATAATACAAAATGGATAAAAAGCGAGTCCCTTTTATTTGGTTCAGTAAACCCTTTTTTTTTTTTTTTTTTTTTTAAGTTGCCCTACAGTTACATCAACTCCTACACAGTCGCGCTACATGAATGAGATCACACAAACTGCAAAATGAACCTGTCGGAAAAAGCAACAACTGTCTGTTATTTTATTGAAACTTCAAAATTTGTTTACAGATTAGGAATGCAAAGTTTTGATTTAATCCACTGAAATGTGATTAATTTATCATTAGGGACATAACTTTGAAAAGTATACAAACATTATGTATAAAAAAACAAACAAACTGGATTTAGGATAGAAAGCGCGCATTAAAATATACTTAGAAATGTTGATCAGTTATAAGCTCTGATGTGAATAAATGGAGAGAAAAGCTCATAATATGTAGGGGTGAACGTGTTCCTTAAAATAATAGGATCCGGACGAATTCTAGTGATTAGCGTGTTGTGCTGTGGATCGAAGGGTCTGGAGTTCAAGACGTGATGCCGCATAACATTCTTCTCACTTTAGCTGTTGTCGCAGTATGAAAAAGACAATCAATCTTATTAGTCGGTTTAAAGAGCCGAACAAAGTTCCTTTGGCGGAGAGTGCTGGCTGGTTGCCTTCCCTCTAGTCAACAGTTCAAAATTAAGCGCCACCATGTATATCTAGATCTTTTTAGGGTCTCTGAACTGGCCGTTTAGCTCACGTGGCCTAGTAGTTATCGTGCCCAGACTGTGAAAATGAAGATTCATGGTTCGCATCCCGTTGCTACATAAAAATGCGTCCTGGACCACGAGGCCATTGGTTGCACTTTGAGAGTGAGGGTAAAATCCCACTGTTCGATCGAAAAAAAAAAGAAGCCAAAGAGTTGGCTATCGGCTAGTTGCTTTCCCTCTAATCCGGCCCCCCTGTGGGTCAGCGATAAGTTTACAGACTTAGAACTCTAAAATCTGGAATTCGATTCTCCGAAGTGGACAGGGCACAGATACCCCATAATGTATCTTTGCGCTAAAAGAAACAATCTAGTCCTTTAGACCAAAATTAAGGATGCTTGCGCAGACGGTCCTTATATAGCTTTGTGTGAATAACCGAACAAACTGTTTTGATTTAGTTATTTTTTCTTTAAATTAAGTATGTACACGTGTTTTGTAAGTTATACAACTCCAATTCTACTTGGCAGAAAACCTACCTAAATGATGCCAAACCTTTTTATGTTTTTTCCTACAGAATTTTCAGTCTGTTTTAGTTATCATGAAAAAAGATTCTACAATGTAGTTTTTTTTCTTTGCTATGAACTGTAAACTAAAGATAAAGCTACTTTTACCGTCTCGTTCAAAAGATGTTAACTTGATATAAAATATACTACTATCAGTTAACCAACACTATGGCAGAAGTATAAGAAGTTCACGTTTTTTTTATTTTTATTTTAGGCACAGAAGAGAAGCGACTCCATCAAGGGATCCAAACTTTAAAGGTAAGATAAGCGATCGTTAAACTTATTTTAAATGAAATATGTTTACCGATAAAGATCCTCTTCATCATATTGTGAATTGTACAACTTTGGGAGTAGTATTGTGAAGGTGGTAAATAATTCTTGTGTTGATATAAGATATGCACCTTTTAACTTCAATTGTTGATTTCGATACATACCCAAGTCCCTTGTGTATTGAACATAAAGTCATTCATCCTCAGATCTAGGGGTCTAGTGTGTGTGTGTTACCCATTCTTGCTGTGCTTCAGTTTTCGACACGTGTCTTCTAGAGAATAATTAGGACCTTCCTGTTTTTTTCTTGATCTTTACTCAAGACAATACATATTGTTGGCATGTCTAGGTGATGTCAACGTGGACTGCATTCTGTTTGTAAAGCCTCTTTCGTAAGGAGCAACTGTAGCGAGGAGACCACTGTGTAACTGAGACCACTGCAATTAAAATTTAAACGGGAGGACAACAATAATCATAATATGTTGCGAGTACAATGCTGTATGACTAGATCCCAGTACTTGTGATGTTGTGGTAGACCACTGCTATACAGTTCGATGTTTACTCTGGGGATTGGTGAGCTGAGTAGATGAGTCAAGACTTATCCTCTTTTTCTTCCATTAAAAGAAGGTATTTCAATTAGCTTTCTGAAAAATCGCACGTGCCGAGTGCTTGATACCAAACCTATAGAGTGGAGCGAGTTTCACTTACAAAGAAATAACAAAAAAATACGTGTTTTCCAACATCATAAGTAGGTTCAGAAAAATCAATTTAACACAAAGGTACGAAACCTTATAACCCGCCCCCCCCAGTGGCACAGCGGTATGTCTACGGACTTACAACGTTAGAATCCGGGTTTCGATACCTGTGGTGGCCAGAGCACAGATAACCCATTGTGTAGCTTTGTGCTTAATTACAAACAAACAAACCTATAACCCGAACGCTTTCGAAAGGTGGACCTTTCTTCTTCAGGGTCAAACTGTCATTTTATTGATCCATTCATCTCTTTAAAGGCAGAATAACAGCTCGTGATGACAACACTAGTCTCACCCTATGTTCACACATTTTATGTCGCTGATAATAATGTGTTTGTAGTATTGAAATACATTAGTTGACACAGGCAGTTATTGTAGGTTGGTTAGCCAAGCACAAGAATGCCTCTGGCCAGCGACCTTGACTTGCCCTGTCGCTATACCTAAGATCTATCGATCAGTAGGAGTTGATTTTCAAATCTGACTCTGATACAGATTTCCTGTCCCGACATGCCAGAAGGAACTGGAGACAGTTCTTACAGTAAATTTTAAAACCTTTAGACTGCTGTTTCCCCATCTCTGACTCGGATAATATACAGGATTGGAAATATCTATGGAAACGGTGAGGTAAAAAGATATAAGAAACAATTACTATGGGATTGCCACCCTTTTATCGTTTTAAAATAAACTGCAGCACGTGTTGATAGTTCACGCTATGACTGGTCATAAAATGTCATACCAGTATAGCTTTGAGAGAGAGCCGTTTTTCGTACTCCTTTATGCACTGTTATATCTGTCTTCAGTAGTAGTTTTGGAAAGTTTGAATGTTGCTATTTTATCTTCGTGTTTGGTAACCCCATACATCATACTCACTATTTTCTGTAGGAGTTTAGACTGTCAGTCACACCTTCAAGGATTAAAATACCGCAAGACAACCATATTCAAATCAAAGTTTTGGCTAGTCAAAGAAACCCTATGCGAACAATTGCGTCAATATGCTATGTTTCCGTAGGAACTAATTGCTAGGCTGGAGAGGGTATGTGAACCTGGCACAGGTAATTAATAATAAAAGTGGTCGAGATAGAAAACTCGTCGTGTCGAGTATTTCAGGGTATGTTAAATACGAGTTAGATGACGGTCGAGTACAGATTTTGCTAATGGTGTTGTTGTGGCTACAAGTACGAATGTGATCTCGTGAACAGTAAGACATACATTAGAACGAAGCTGTTTGATTGGATGTGTAGCTGTTCTAAAACTGCCACTGAGAAGAGGTAACCAAATCAAAAGGTTGAAATGGGTATCATACTGTTGATTGAACAAAACAGGAGATGTGTTCTGTTTACAGATGAATCTTTGTTCAAATTATTCGTCAACAATATCAACAACAGTTTGATCAATGGCGAAGAGGAGAATAGTAACACAGGCAGTGTTACAAATGAACCATGATGGGGGATCAGTTCAAATTTGGGCCCGTTGGGGCTACCACTAAGCCACCTGTGTCAGTGATTTACTGAACATTGATGACATCATGACTGTGACAAGCACAGTAGATTCTGATCCATTATGCCATTCCCCGAGGATCATGACCCATTGGATGGGTATTTATCTTCCAGCAAGACAATGATCTCAATGTATAGAAACTGTGATAAAACGATATCTTGGCGGGAAAAAGGAATGATGGAACACTCACAGTCCTGATATCATCATTCTTTAAGCTGTATGGGCTTATGTGAAATTAACAAGGTCAAAAAGCTGAACTGTGCAGAGATATACAGGAAATTTGGAATAATATTCCATAGTTGTATATTAATAATGCCCGGTTTAAATAAAGGGTTAACATATGAAATACTAGTGCTTTATACAACAGGTTTACTTTTCTTCTGTATTTCGTGTGATAATTTGTTTTTAATTTTAATAAATTCACCATTTAGTTGCGATTACTTATTGTTTGTGGGTCCTGTACGTGTATCTCCATATTTTAATAAATACAGACCATTCAAATCTAAAACTTAAAAAAAATCAACATGATTTTCAGTAATTACGCGTGAAAAGTACCTAAACTTATATGTTTTTCATATTTTGCGTTAAGACTTCATCTTGTAATCTAAATATGGTATACAGAAATGTAGAGGGTTAATCACACTTCATAAGAACGATTTGACACAGTGACATCAATATATATGTCAAAGTTCATAACCTTTTACGAAGAAGAATGTTCTTCTAGCGATATTCTTATATGATGTGAGTCAAATAACACAATCTTTCGAAGAAGGGAGCCTACAATGTTATCCATGGAAGCGAAAACGAAAACAGTATACAAACGCCTCCCACAACAGCGTGTTTAGGATAGCAGTGGACTCCAAAATCACACCCAAAGCCAATTCGGAGTATCTTCTTCGTCCGAGAGAGAACCTTCTGACCCCAAAAGCTATCATCAAGTTGTGATCAAGCTGGACACGTCTCCTGGTACAGTTAGCAAGATAATAAACAAGATAACAAGATAACAATGAATTTAAGTTGATGTAGGTTCACAAAGTCAACATTTAGAAGTTTCCAGTCACATGTCGAAACATATGGCTGTTTCCAAGAGAAAGAAAGCCGAAGAAATTGGAATTCAGCAATCCTCTTCGACCACATACTTGTCAATCCCCCTCCCTCCCCATGTAGTTCGAATGTAATGTTGTGCATTTCCACCTGTTTGAACGTAGCCTTGGATGCCAACATCCACGTGTAATTGCAGTTACGATGTTGGACAGTAGCGTGTAATCGTGGACATCAAACTGAGCAGCGTCTACAATGAAAATATCAGTCCTAAGGGTAGAACGGCACCTGGAACTTTGTTAACAAAAAAGTGCCATTAAGCTCAATAATTTCTTTGTTAAGATGTTCTTGTATTTCCACACGAATATGCTGTAACATTACAATTTTTGTTGGACTAAGAGCGACCTAGTTGTTTATTCTAGCTCCGTTGTTTTGTTGATGTTTGTGTATAATGTAACTTATTAAACATTGAAACTCTTTCATAACTGAATAAGCACCAGAGGGATGTATAATTACAGACATTTTGAATATTTTGCACATTACTGTGTAAAATAAAAGGTGTCATGTCAGTCAGTACTTATTTCAAGAGCTTGAATAAATAGAACGAGCAGGAGTGAACCTATACGTACTGCCATTGGTATGCCATTTCAGCATTGATAAATATCAGTCGATGTTTCAGTAATTTGCTCAAATTTATGTAACATCAACTTTAGTTCTATAGAAGAAACTAAACATTCCCACGCCTTTTACGCGGCCTTTCGATAGGGACGAGCAGAGACTGTTTACACAAAGAGTTCCTTGATCAAGTATTTGTCTATGTCTTGAATCTGCGTTGTACACGTGTTCGAAAAAAAAATGACGTGTTGCGCCTGGTAACAACACAGTTTGTTGCGAATGGTTCAGGAAATGTCAAGGGGTCATGTAAGGTCATTTTGAAGGGATTATAAAAATCAGCACAATGCCAGAATCGTTATAATAATGTAGCAGTTTTTTTTTTTTACATATTTGAAGATATGGCGATTCTTTAATCCTTATTCCTTATTTATCATCTCAACCGTAGTCGATATTTTATACATATTTGAAGATGTGGCGATTCTTTAATCCTTATTCCTTATTTATCATCTCAACCGTAATCGATATTTTTTACATATTTGAAGATGTGGCGATTCTTTAATCCTTATTCCTTATTTATCATCTCAACCGTAGTCGATATTTTTTACATATTTGAAGATGTGGCGATTCTTTAATCCTTATTCCTTATTTATCATCTCAACCGTAGTCGATATTTTACATATTTGAAGATGTGGCGATTCTTTAATCCTTATTCCTTATTTATCATCTCAACCGAAATCGATATTTTTTACATATTTG